GTATCATGGATTTTGGTCATTACTATATGGTCCCTTCTGTGCTCATATATATATGAAGTTGTGGGTTGTTCTGCCTGTTGTGTTATTTGCAGCCGGATGCTACAGTATAATATTGTATTATTCATTCTCAAAATTCATATCTTGACCTGAAGAAGTCTTTGATTCCTAATTCAATTCATGATTTTGGAAATTCAGTTCATCACACCAGAGTAGTTGAAAGAAGCTACTCATGATACATATACATATGCATATCACCATAAATGACACAGCATAAGGTGATAAAAGTGGTGCTTGAGATAGAATCATAATGCAATATGAATGTAGGGTAGTAGAATTTAATTTTAAATATAGAGAGGCAACGCAGGATAAGATGATATAGTCATGATGGAACAATAGCAGTAAGACAGTTTTAGAACAGTAATTTTTTGATTAACCAATTTTATACACTTGTATAAATGCAAAATTTTAAAGACATTTTAATTCAGATATGTAAGTCAGTAGTTTCCTTATGCATATAAAAGACAGTCAGAGAGAACTAAGCATATGTTGATGTCACATCACAAGAATACGTGGCAAAAGCTGACATAGCTAATAGATCCTTTGAAATTATGGCACGTTCAAATATTTTTGGAACAACAGTTACAAATCAAAGTCTGTTCTTGAGGGACCAGTAGAGGGCTCTTGTGAATATGGTAATGAACCTTTAGGTTACATAAAATGTTGGAAAACTCTTGAGTAGCTGAACAGCTAGCAGCTTCTGAAGGACTCAGCTCCATGTAGTTAACTAGTTAGTTAATTTGTTTGTTTGTTTGTTTGTTTTTTTGCTATGATAAAATGAGGGCAATGACTCCCTTGTTACATCTGTGAAAAAGTGGCTTAGAAGAGGTGATGCTGAATTTTGCCATGCAGGCATTCATGCACTTGTTCCAAGGTGATGTAAGACAGTTGAGAGAGATGGGGACTAGATTGAAGAGTAGCATTTCGTTCCAAAAGGCTGTACCTATCTACTATATGAATAGCAAAGTTTTAAAATAAAAACTGTTGTTTTTTGGAGTGACCCTTGTAACCTAATTAAAGAGTTATATTTGATGGTTGTAAACAAAGTTTTTAGGACATTTTGATATTGTGTCACTTTTTGAAAATATGAAGTGAAGGAGATTAAAGATTAAAGTATCTATCGTTTATGGTTATGCATTTTAATACCTCTAGTGCTTCTTATTATTTGTACTTGAAATAAATTAATGTCTCAACTAATGAGCCCCATGCTGTTGTTAAGGTCAGATTTTTTTCTGTTTGACCTTAGAAAATAAAATTGTTTAGAATTATTTAATTCAGCAGTAGTGGAATGTTGGCAGTGACGAAGACTGTGAAGTGCCAAGGGATACTGTTACCGCTCTCGCAGATGCAACCCGCACAGCCTATATCCGTGGTCGTTGGGTATTGACTGATAGTTCCGGCCAGCTGCAGCACTGTATTGTGGCACCCACATTACCTGATTCAGGAGACTACTGTGCCTATAACACGTGGGGTAAGCTCTGAATTCTGAGAAGTCATGTATGTTTTAAAACTTTTAACGTATTTGTTGTGAGATGGTCTGTTATGTAAAGTGAAACCTGTTTAGAAATACATTGCCCAAGAAGTATTCCCATCTTAAATGTGATTTGGTTGCAGAATTTCCCTGTATGATTTGGGCACATTTTAACGTTTTAACCTTTACAAGCTATGCAGTGATTATTGTGGTTGCCAGTTTGCATGGTCCAGCTGGCCAAACGTATTTTTTCAGTTCTAATACTTTTACCACCAGTTCACATATGGCCACGAGGCTTCCACGTAGATGTGGAAGATGTAAATTCTCAAATGCCCTAATCATAAACTGTTACCTCAAATTAATATATGGTCATCACTTCTGTAGTGCTGGGAGATTTAAAACCCCTGTTTCTGGATGATGAAGGTTAATATGCTTTTATTCAAAAGATTTTCTGCCTAAAATATATGCAGTGAACACCACACAACTAAATATAATACAATAGAGTCATCAGTGATCTTGAACAGTAAGCTAAAGTTGTTCCTGTGCACAACTAACCAAGCACTCTGCCCTGAGAATGTATGGGGAAGTGGATGTATAGATCCATGTATTCTTGAACTGTACAATAGTAAAATGGTCTGGGGTGCACATATCCTACTATACAGTGGGTACTGGGGCTGCTTACCCAGGATCAAAGCATCAGGGGCTGACCACTCCCATCTGTCTCCAAGGTTCTGAATGGTGGAGCTACACCTCCACTACTCCAGCTCTAGGGCATGGTAATTAAGTAGAGGTATAGCTTATCTTAATTTTTGCCTTACAGTAGAAGAATGAGAAATTCCTTATGTAAAATAACTAATTGTTAACAACTTTAGGGCTTACCCTGGAAAGAAGTTTTCCTGTTTAATAAGCTCCATGTAATCAGTAATTTAAAAAATGTCTTACTCATTGTGTCCTTTTAATTAAAATCCCCAGTTTCCAAGTGTTTTACAAACATTTAATTCCTCAAGGGAGGGAACAATTTTACTTACACTTTTAAGTTCCAGACAATGCTTTGGAGGTGAATTAAGTGGAAACTGCATATAGTAGAACATGGCAGATGTAAGCAAGTACATCTCATCTCATTGTCTTTGTGTGCAGAACTCTAACCAACACTGATTTCTGGATACTTCTTACTTTACTGGATGCAACTTTTTTTTTCAGTTTATGTTTTCTGAAGTCCCCTGATAGTGTCTCTAAAGGGTGCTATTTGGGTCACTGTGGCATTGTGTCCTTCACTGGAGATCAAGCATTATCTGAACTGAACTAATTTGTGGTGTGTGTGCATTTCAGTAATCCATGCCTTCCCAACTCCATGTACAAGTTTCTCATATTATGGATTTTAATTTTTGTTTAACATTTTGTAAACAAAAAATTAAGGGACCACAATTCAAACTTTTTGGGATCATGTGATTATTTTTCTAAGGGTGGAATAATAACTTCTGGTCTAGAAAACCTAAATTAACGGCTGTGGGGATTCATTGTGCTGACCACGTGACACCCTCTATCCACTAAATTGGCCCTAACTTCGCCGACAAGTGGCAGTTGCTCGGTCAGTATAGTTCACTTGTGGAATAAAACCACGGAGTTTTTTTGTGGAATAATAACTTAGATACTGATTGGCCCTATCCACACCTTTCATGTATTGTATTTTACAACACAAATAGGCGTCTGTATTTCCTATCCAGTCTTTCTTTCCTGAGTTCACAAAGTTTGACTCATGAATTGTGCTGCTCATGTACACCAGCCACGTATCTTTCCAAAATTTTCTGTGAAAAAATTGTTGCCCATTTCATCACATTTTTTTTTAAGTTACTCCACCATTCACAGACGTCAGGACAGTACTACAGCATAACAAGACTCTGTGTATAATCCATAAAACCACAGAATGCCAGAAACATGAAGTATAAATTGAAAAAGTAATGTGTTTTTTTTTTCATTGGCGCTACAGCCCTCATTTGGGCCTAGGCCTACCTCCATGAAACCCTCCGTTTCACTTCGGTTTACTAGATCTTAGACATATGGTAGGACTCCTTGGGTGAGTGATCAGCTCATTGAAAGGCCTCTACCTGTACACAAACAGAAAAACGCACACAAGCATCCATGCCCTGAGTGGGATTCGAACCCACGATCCCGGCTTCCGAGTGAGCAAAGACAGTGCATGCCTTAGACAGCTTGGCTACCGTGACCGGCAATGTATTTTAACAAAGTTAATCAGTAATTGTACTGTGTTTTAACCAAGCTTTAGAATAGTGAACTGTAAAAAGCAATACAGTGCAGCAGTTACATAGAAGTGTCTGCCTGATCATGGTCTTATAAGTTCAAAACATGTAATAGAAGTATTTTTAAAAAATGACAGCATAAAACACCAACAGTGTATGAGCACAACAAGAGGTTGCACCTTAAGACTGGTGCTGCAAATTAAATTGTTAACCATTGCAACGGGATGCTATCAGATTAGACAACATTGCATCCCAGAAGAGAGTACTCTTCATAGTCACCACTCAGATCTTATATGGCAGTTTAAATGCATGGTGTCATTGTAATAGATTTTGATGTTTTCTGCCAGTGGCATCCAACAAGGATGGAGTTCCTGGAGGAAGTAGTGAAGCCACGGATCACAACGCAGCATACAGTATTAGTGCTGCCTTAACTTACACCACTCAGCTTGTCAATGTGCTGGCATTCTACTTAGATGTTCAGCTGCCAAACAAACTGTGTTACAGGTAAACTGATAAAAACATGTAACTGGAAATTGTGTATCTCCTATTTCAGATGTTGTTAGTTTGAGGACGTTCTGTACTTAATGGAATGTAAGATGAAGTTTTTTTTTTGCTTTACTTATCCTCACAGTAAAATATTGTATTAAAATATAAATACTTTGGAACAGTAGTAACAGGTTTAAATGAAGTTCCAAAAGAAATTGAGAGAAGAATAAATTCAGGGAAGTGCTTCATGATAATTGAGTGATGAAAGTGACTGGCGACAGGTTCCAGGCAGTAATTATTTTCTTCACCATATCTAGACCAAATGCAGCGTATCCAGTGACTACTAGGGATGAAACAGACAAATTTTGACACCAATCAATCACTTCACAGAGTGCGAATGTTAGTAATGCATGGATATTACCTCTGCTTCCCTGATATGCCCTCATGGCATGGATGCAAGGGTAGTTTTGTCTTTGTAGATCAGAAAATTCTGTTTTACTGTTCAGTTTACACACTGTCATTGTCCTGCCCACTAAGAGAACTAAATACAGGGTGTTTCACGACTTTAGGACATAACTGCAGGAGGTGATTTCATAGGTCTTTGTGATCAAAAAAGTTCATATAAACATGTGTCTGATTTTGGACGGTTACGCATGACCGCTTTTCATTCCCGTACATGCCCTCGTGTGTGATCATCTGTCCAAAGTGCCACAGCAGCCGGTTCCTGTTTCCACACTGTACAGGTGCTGCTCTGTGTAGTCTTCCTGTGTACGTGCCGCTGCTTGTCTTTACTAAGTGTGCAGCGGCACGCACACAGGAAGACTACACAGAGTAGCACCTGTACAGCGTGGAAACAGGAACTGGCCGCTGCGGCACTTTGGACATAGGGTGAGTGACCCTAACAATTTTAAATTTTAAATTTGGAGAAGGTTTTGAAGGATTTTGGAATTGTGACTGGGGATTTCGTAGTGATGCTGCAGGGGGGTCAGGGTTGACGTGTGCAGGGTGATCTGCATGCCAGACGGATGTCAGTGGGGTGGATGTTGATAGTGGCGAGGAGGATAGCAATGTGTTTTTTGAATGTTAAATTTTAGACTGGGTTCAGTGTGGCAGCGGCGTGGGAGTGTACACTTGATGATGGCCGTTAGAGGCCAAAGCATGTAGTGTAGAAGAGAGCAAGATCAAAGACATATAATATATATTGTTTGCACTTGGGACAGAGTTTGTATCATTTATCGTGTAGAGTGCAACAGGATGCTTAAATATAATATTGTACAATTCAATAGTAGTTATTGAAGAAGGATTTAAGTTTGAGTGTTTGAAACTATAAACACTGCTTTTATTTTCATTTTAATTAGAGATAAAATATTCTCTGTCTTGTTTCAGTGATTTCTGTGGCCACGAAATGAGTGATACACAGTTTGCTCATAGAGTTGCTAAGCTCAATTCCAATGTCCTGCATCTTTGCTACACCCAGAATGTTAATCCTGCATTGCTGCAACCAGCACGCACGTTGCACAATATCCTCCTCTTGCTCAACACTGAAGTCAGTGACCTTGGAAGGTATTTAATTTCCTGGAGGGAACAAGAGTGAAAATATGTATTCTGTATGGAGTACACTCTTTTTTTCTCTCAAATGTATTCTACGTGAATTTTTATTCCTTTACAGACATGCTGTTTTTTTGTTAGAAATGCTGTCGTTTCATTTGGTCACCTTGTCCATTTTGTGCTGAACTCTTGTAGCAGAAGTATGCATTAAAATTTTATGATGTAGAGCAATGTAATCTTATTGTAAAAGCAAATTAGGGAATGCAGGAATGCATAATTTAGCTTCTATTTTGTTAAACATACATTCTATTGAAAAGTGTGATATATATTGTATATAGTTTATCAGTTTCTTTTTATAATGAGCCATTTAATAAAAGAATATTATGATGGAGTGGGTAAGGTACGGTGAGGTAAAGTTCTCCTGTGCTTAATGAATTAAGCACCACACAATGAAGACATATGGGGGAGTGAAGGTATAGCTCTGCCATTCTTGGCCTGGGTACTGGACGGATGTGAGTAAGTCAGTTTCATGCCCTGGCCACTTTACTCCCCTGGGGAAAGAGCTCCCTACACCCATTGGATAGGAGGTTCGGTGGGCCCCACAGCTGGTCTGGACAATGTGGAGAAGAGAAATTCCCTGCCAGGAATTGAACCCCAAGCACGGAGCCTATAGCCCGTCACTATACCGACTGGGCTATCCTGTCTCATATAATGGTTTGAGTGTCATGTAAAACAGATTTATTTTATCGGTATCATCCATCAGAAAATTTGATTGACAGCTTTAGTGTAGAACCCCTCTCCCCACTGCCTACACCAAGTTTCGTTCAAATCTGGCCATTAGTTTTGTTGATGAAACATGCAGATTGGCAGACAGACCTTACCATTTCACTTTCATTTTATGTACTTTGTGCAGAGCTGATGAGTTCATAGTCGTGGCTTTGAGGGACAGTGCCCTTTTAGACATGGGATAGCTCAGTGCTTCCTTAGGCTCTAGAAAGTAAACAGACTCCAGACTAAATTCTGATGCAACAAAAATTGAGACCATTGCTGTACTTTCTATGTTACATAGACTTATCATGCAGTGATTTTAGGAGAATGACTTTTACTTATTTTAATAATTAGGTTATAATGAATGAGAATCATGCAAGTGAAACAAAATTAAGTACAGTACATTTAATTATATTTTATAATTATTGATAAAAATATGGTTATCTCTTGCTAGAGAAAGCTAAGTATGACCTAAAATTCAAAGTATGTAAAACACTTGAGACTTCATTAGCAACTTTTATCAAAATTTCATTACGGAATATTCATTAATAATGATACAACAGGTGTTTATTCATTCAAGCTTGCAGTGATGTGACATCATTCATTATATGGTCATTTTTTGACACTGATTAGGTATAATATAACCAGAAACAGCCATTTTCATTGTGCCTGATGTTAGTTTCAATTTCACCATGTTCACACTCAGTGAGACCATTTCCCTCTTCCATAATGTTCACAATTATATCATTATCATTCATTATGTTTACTTCCCTGGCTGCCATTTTTTGGTTGCCACATTTCATGGGTAAATTATATTTGCAAAATCTCCATAACAACTTAAACTCTATGATGGAAGAACCTTCAGATATTTCTTTACTGTGTAGTAAAGATAAAAAAGCAGACATTACATTCTATTGGATGTAGCGGGGCACACAGTAGCATAGTTGCTAGCATAGCTGGAAGGTCGCAGGTTCAAGTCCTGATGAGGTCATTGGATTTTTTTTTCAGTTGACCTAATCATTCCAGGTGCACTATGGCTCTTGGGTCGACTAAGCCTCTAACAGAAATGAGTACCAAGAATTAATTAAATAATTTTCCTGGAAAGTAAAGCGTGGCAGGCACATAAGGCTGACAACCTTACCACTATCTTTGAGCAGACTGTCTAGATAATGTGGGACCCTCAATATCTCACAACCCTATGGGCCTTCATGGCCTGGTACAGGGATAGCTTTAC